CCTTAATATAGAAAGAATTCTTGCTAATCAATATGTAAATCACTCACAGAAAAACAGGCACAGTTATAGTTAGAATATGCCAGGAGAAATAAAAGTCATTAATCCTCTGAATAGTTGTTCAACCTCACTAATTAAAAATGAGAAGGGTAAAAAAATTCTATCAGACTTACAATATTAAAAGCAGTAATACCCAGTGTTGGTCAAATGGTGAAAAACACTCAAAACACTACTGGCAGAAGTATATACAGCCTTTGCGGAGAATAATTTTTTTTTATTAGAGACCAGATCTATGTTGCCCAGGCTGGTCTGAAACTCCTAGCCTCAAGTGATCCTTCCACCTCAGTCTCCCAAAGTGCTGGGATTACAGATGTGAGCCACCACACCAGGCTGCTTTTTTCTGCTGTTTTGTAGAGATTAGGTCTCCCTATTGCCTAGGCTGGTCTCCAACTCCTGGCCTCAAGCAATCCTCCTGCCTCAGCCTCCCAAAATGCTGGGATTATAGGCATGAGCTACTGCGTCCAGCTGTAGAAAAGATATTATCAATAAAATTCTGGATGTTGGAAAACAGATGGAGTGGTAATAAACTTAGCTAAGACTTGGGAAACCTGTATCCTAAGATGGCAGTGGGCAAAAATCAAGAAACAACCGGATTCACACCACAGACTCCCCAAAAACTCAGGAACAGGTAGGTGGCCCCGGGGACAACTTCTGACTAGGTGAAGCCCAAGCATGGTAATTCCACCCATTCTTGTCAGAGATTTAAAACACAGTCCAAGCCAAGCAATGCATGGTATTCCCCTGGTGAATGGTTCAGGGCTAGACACTAACCTATGTTGTCCTAACCAGATTAATGAGAAAGGCTTGCCAAGTCTGGAGAGGCCCTTTTTTTCCTGTTGGATATAAATGACATGTGGCTCTGTTTCCAACAAATATCTTAATGACTCTAATAGGATTTAGTTTTCTGGACAGAGCAAAGAGATACAGATACTGGATCAACCAATCTTGATGTGCTACCGTTCCTCTAGACTGCCAGTTTTATAAATAGTTAATTTTCTTAAGTCAGTTCAATGGAGTTTTATGGTATTTGTAGTTAAAACATTCTAATGTATAAGGGCTTACCATGTACCAGGCACCATTCTAAGAGTTTTACATGTGTCCCATTTAATCATATGAGGTATATACTATCATATTCCATTTTACAGATGAAAAACACAGGCAGGTGTGTTAAGTAACCTGTCCACAATCATACAATAAAAGAGAACTACGGCAACAATTTGAATTTAGGCAATCAAACTTGAGAACTGCACTCCTTAAAGTAATAAAATTAAATGTTAGCTGTAGTCAAGACAAAAGTCAGTGTTCAAAGATAAAAGAAGAGGGGACAGTATATTTATACCCGAAGACTTCGCTATAGGACTAAATTCAAGCTTTTATCTTGTAGAAAGGAATCTAAAAATTTTTTAAAAAGCCTTACCCTTCTTTTTCTTCTTCTTCTTTTTCAAATCTCCCTGTCTACAAAGAAAAGAAAAATTATTATCTTTGTGACAAAATATTTATAGAACATTAAGTATGTGCAAAAGAGTGTGAGTTGGGCACTTTATCGTAAAGATATTTAAGACTTGGTACCAGCTCATCAAAGCTAACAAACTAGTTGGGATATTAATTCAGGCTGAATTCAATTAAGCTTCAGATATTATAATTTTTGGAAGGTAAGTTTAGAAAGGAGAGGTGACAACTGTTTTCAGAAAACATAACAATTTACATTGAAAAAAATTAAGTGGCACACATTAAGTCTATAT